AATTGCTTCCCTGGCCACCTGTCTCAACTTGTGCGCTCACAGAAAAAGATTTCTTGATAATTAAACTAATTAAATATCTAAGAGCTAAGTGAGCTAACTAATAGATCATATTTACATAGTTTTAAATTATTGATTTGTCGTGGTAAATTGAATTTTTTTTTGAAACTTCAAATCGAAGTTTTAATACATCAAACCGCTATTATGTTGGGGACCCTTCTGATGTCCGGAGGGGGGGGGAGGAGGGGATTGCCCCGTATGCCCCTGTCTTATTCAGACTCTGACTACACTCGTAAGAGTTAGTCGAAACAGTAACGGACGATCGAAAATAACTTAAAATATCTAAGATTGGCTGAATTACAATGAGAAATAAAATGTAAATGAATATCGATATGGTGGGGATCGCCAATTTTAGCACATAGTGGTGAAGTAATTGTCTCCAGGAAAATGAATAAAATCGTTTAAGCAAAAATTTGATTTATTAAAGTAAGTATTAGAATATTTAAAATGGTTCCATATTTAAAATACAGAAAACAAAAAGAAAAATATCCCTTAAAGGTATCAAGACAATCTTCTCTATATCGAGAAGTTTTTGTCAGCATGAATGATATTTTTAATGGTTGGGACTGGGAGGCCCGCAAGGCATCCCCAGTCGCCACAAATTAGAAATTGGAAGAGAATAAATTTATTCTAAACAGACACAGAAGCATGGAGAGGAGATCCCAAATTGGCGAATTATCGAAATATAACATAGCCAAAATAAAGCCAACCCCGCATAATCAATATTAGGTTTGAAAATATCTTGGCGATCGCCAACAAAACTGTGAGAATTATCATAACCATGTAACTGAAACATATTTGAGGTAAGAAGTTAATAATAAGGAGTTATAAATAGATATTTGTTTCCGATTAGGTGCGGCAGTGAATAAATTAGTCTACATTAGTATTGAAATAAAAAGTTAGCCGTTTTACATTGATCGATAAGAAAAGAATAAAATATTTTATGCTCGTTTTTAAAATGATTAACTCATTGATTTAATTTAAATATAATTCGATTAAGAATGATTAAAAAAAAGTAAGTTTAAATAATAAGATATTTTAAAGGCTAGGAAATATGTAATGCCAATTATGGCATCACAGATATGTTTGTCGATATTTAGTCCCAAAACTTTTCTCCTTAAGATCATAACTAAGCTGACGATCTTTCTTTTTAATAGCTATGGTAGACTTAGTAAATAGTCTTTACCCAACCATGAGACAGGAACGTCCCCTGCGAAAACGAAGCTTGAGAAGTTCCATTGGTCAGATGATTCAGAAAAGGGGTATTCGAATGCCCCGAAGGTCCATGAGACTCAAAAGACAAGTAGACGTGGAAGATCTTCTTAATCTGTTTGAAAATGAACGTTTTTATAACGAGGATGCTCAGGTTAGAATTTTTTTATTTATTCCTATTTAATCTATTGCTTGTCAATAGCTTGTGAAGCTTAGATGATATATTTTTACAGCTAACTCCCCACAGCTTTAGTGGGAGAGCAAGGACTGTTGCCAAACGACACGTATGTAATAATTTATATTTTATCTCTTAGGAAAGTAGTTTATTTTTAAGTTGTAGTTGTTGTAGTTCATTTGCGTCGGATTAAAGTTGCACAATGTGCTATTGGCGATAATCTGGGAAACATCACTGAGGAAGATCAGAAGACATGCCATCACAATTTTGATCCTCTGCAGAGGGGATGGCACCCCTGCTTCGGTAGCTCGACGACCTACACGTGAAGTCGAGCACTTTATGGTAGAACAGTTTAACGAGGACCAATTCCCTCACACCCTCGGTTCCGAAGCAGACTGATCCACGTGGTCACCTACCCGCTTGTAGTAAAAAAAAACTTTTACTTTTAAAGTTAAAGGTTAAAGAAAAGCAATTTAAATTACACTGCTGGCCACCTTAAATGCAACACCCTGAAGGAAGCATGAGAATAACATGAAATTTATAACATGCATTTGCGGAGGTGAGATATGCAAATGATTAGAATTTCAGCGCCGACACACATTACGCGCGCCTGTGGTGCCACTTCAAAGCGCTATTTAAGGCTCGGAGATTTCGATGATTTAAAGGTCGGCAATTGTGTTTTTTTTTTTCAAAAAACGATCAATTATGCCTCGTAGAAAATAGCGATCATCTTTTGATCAAGTATCCGAGTTTCACAGAGGAAGGATAGTGGCCTACCGAGATTGTGGATTATCTTTCAGGGAAATCAGTAGTCGTGTTGAACGAAACCAAACAATTGTAATGCGGATATGTGATCGTTGGTTGCAAGAGGGTACGACGGACCGACATGTTCGATTGCATCCACCTCAGTTCCCCACTTCACGTGATGACAGGCCAATTGTGCTCATGGCAGTGACTGATAGCTCAGTCACATCACAAACCATAGCACAGCACATTCAGTCTGTAACGCATCATCCAGTGTCTACGCGTACCATTCGACGCCGTTTACCACAGAGTGGTCTGTCCGCAAGACGTCCATTGCTTCGTCTACCCTTGACGCAGAACCATAGACGTCTCCTCCGCCAATGGTGCGATGAAGGAAGGATGTGAACGACAGAATGAAATGAAATCGTCTTTAATGATGAGTCACGCTTCTGTCTGCAACACCACGATGGTTGCATTCGAGTCTGGAGACACCGTGGAGAGAGGATACTGAACAGCTGCGTTATGCACAGCCACACTGGTCCTGCACCGGGTATCATGGTATGGGGCAGTATTGGACATCACTCTCTCACTCCTCTAGTACACATTTCCGGTACTTAAAACAGCCATCGCTGCAGCTCCGAGGTGCTGGAGCCAGTTGTCCTTTCTTACCTTCAGAGCTTGCCCACAGCCGTATTTCAACAGGATAACGCGCGACCACACGTGACACGCATTGTCCAAGAGTTCGTCTATCGCCAGACAGAATTGCTTCCCTGGCCAGCTCGCTCTATGGATCTTTCGCTGATAGAAAACATGTGGTCCATGATTGCTCAACGATTGACCCAGATTACATCCCCAGCTGCCACACCAGATCAACTTTGGAAACGTGTGGAAGCTGCTTGGTTTGCTGTATCACAAGAACACATCCAAAGTCTCTTTGAATAAATGCCGAGGCGCGTGGCAGCGGTGATCTCCAACAACGGCGGCAACTCTGGCAACTGATTTTGGCAGGAACCACTCTTCACAGAAGTCTATAAATTTAATCATTTGATACTTGGCCAACAGGTTATCTGCAAAATAAATTTTGTTGTGATATATCTTGCCTTTCCTGGTGGTGCAATTTGGGTGGCCAGCAGTGTATTTCATTCGTCGAGTTTATTAAGGGGAATAAAAATGTTAAATTAATTCTGAAAACAATTATTTTGTCATACAAAAATCAGATTTTTTCAAAGTTTCATCTTATTAAATATTAGGGTCTGTTCGAATTTCTGGGAGTTCAGAATCTTAGCTATGCGAAGATAGCCCCCGAAAATGAGGAAAATAAAAAATTCAAACTGCATTCGTTTGACCATTTTTTGACCACAAATGACCACCCTTTAAATTTTTTTGACCACCCTTATTTTGGNTTTGCATAGCTCAGAATCTTACTCAAATATTTAAACCTGTCGCCGAGTATGAAGTTTGTAATGTGATAGAAAATATTAATCGGTTCTGCTATTTCGGTTTTGATAATTAAATCAAACCTTTTGTTCTAGTTGTCATTCATGAATTCTTAAAAATGTTAAAAGGTTATTTGATTTCAAGGGAACAAATTAAACTCATTTGTTTTTTAAAAAAATGGTTTTCATTGAGTATTTTTTATTAAATTTCAGCAGATTTATTTTTTTTATCGAAATATTATTGAGAATGATTGTGAATCTGTCTCGTTAGTTTAAAAAATATGGGAAACAAATTTATTGTTTTTTATTTTATTTTTAATTCGATTAAATGAACTACGTAACATAAAATTATAAAGTATAAAAGGTTATTTGTATCAAGTTTTTCAAAATTCAACTGAGAAAAACTACAGTTTGGGCTTACAATTGGTATTTTATAAAAATTACTAATGTTTTGTTATAAACTTTAAAAAAATAATAAATTTAAAAAGAGTTTTAAAAACTAAGTGTCAACAATTTAAATCAAATGACCGGAATATTTCAGAATCGTGACCTGTCGGGCTAACTACAATCGCCAAATGGATTTTAAACTAGCAAATTAAAAAAAAAAAAAGTTAAGAGATTTGAAAGGGCTACGAATTAGGTTTTCGAGTTGGGTTCCTTTTGTGATATTTTTTTAGTTTCAAGCGAGTGCTCGAGTCGGGCCACGGCACTGCCTGCAAAACTTGGCGATTATTTTCGCGTAGATCACGATACGGAATTATTTCCCAAATGATTAAAACAATGATCCCAAATGACTAAAATTGTAATTTTAACGTTTTTGCGTCTGATTTCGTAACTTAAAATATCGTCTAAACTAATTAATTAGTTTATTTGAGGTCAACCCTCGAACCATTAAGATTGAGAACGTGAAAATCTGATCATCAGATCAAATGTTATTCAGAAGAGAAAAAGATTCAGAAGACTAATTTTTAGATTCGTTGTAAAATATATTCCTTATAAAATATAACAAATCTTATAAAATATATTAGTTTCTCGGGTTTGCAATAATTAAAAATTGACATGGATAAAATTGTTAAAATGTTTAATAACAGACATTGAAACGGATCTTTTTTATTGAAATTGCGAAGGTTTATTAAATAAAATTAAATAATATTTCTTAGTTTTCAAAAATGTCTCGTTTTAAATTATATCCTTATATTCCAATGTAATTTTTTAAAACTATTTAGTTACGTGAATCAATGATATTAATATTTGTTTATGAATAGTATGGTGACAAAAAGATTTTTTTAAAAGTGAAGCTATTTAAAAACATTCAATATCTTCTAAGAGCTTAAACAGTGGTAAATATATAAATTTACATTTAGAAGTATTATTAAGTTAGAATATAAACTTATAATTTTGTCTAATATACTGTGATATATAAGTATTCTCTTCTTATTTTCAAGTTACTGAAGCTGTTGTGGCACTCTTTGTTTAAAGCCTATCCACCACGACAAGGTGGTGCCACATCGGATAGGGTCGGTTTTTAATTGTCCCGCCAAAAACCGTATAAAAAGCAGATAGTGATTCGATTTTTAATTGTCCTTCGGCCAAAAATCGTGTAAAATGCAAACAATATTTTGATTTTTAATTGTCTTAAAGCCAAAAATCACAGAAAAAGCAACTGCAAGAAAAGGTCCGGACACAGCGTAACCCTCAGAATATTCTGATGCTACTTATCCAGACATCCAGAGAGATTAAATCAATCTCTCTGGGCCATACAGAACAATTACTCTGTCTGGCTCAGAAAATCCAATTGCAAGTGAACAATGTTCACCCTGTCCAACGCTGTGCATTGGACAGCAATTGATTTTGGAAAAGAACTTGCAGATCCTTCTAAACCACTTCATAATGCCAGTGGGTATTAAAAACGCTTTTTTTAGAAAAGAGCTTAATAAGAACAAGTTGATCGCACCACTATCAAAATGGAAATGACTGAAACAAAGCATTGTTTCGTTATTAATCTGGTAACAATGAAATTAGAGTATTGTTGGTACGGAATAAAAGAAGTTGTATTTAAATAACAAATTTAAACAATGAATATGCTTATTGTTAGAATGAACTGCAAGTCAGAATTGTTTTATTGTTGAGCACAAGTTTGGTGTGCAGATGATCAGTTCCAATGAAATGAGAAAACACTTTTAAAAAAGTCACACTTTGATAGGAATAAGCGTTCGGGACATAATTTTTTAAATACAGTAAAAACTCGATGTAACGAAAACATATAACGATAAATCCATTAATACGATCCTCTAGTTTCCGTCAAAATATTAGTATTAAAGATACAAAAATTGTATATTTATGACAAGTTAGCCGACTTTCGCGAGAAACTTTTTTAGGGCGGAGCATTTTTCTGTCGTTTATGTGAACAATCCTATACGAAAAAGGGGAAAATATGGAAGACATCTTTATTTCTTTTTTAAAATCATCATTATTTATTTACTAGAAAAATGGAACAAAAATAGGATATAATTTTTTGATTGATCCATTTGTGCATTTTTAATCATAATTTATCTGGTTTTTAATAGCTTTCACCGCAAGTATAGCTATGTTTTTAAAATTTCAAATTTTTTTTAATACGATGAGGGAAAGTTTGAATTTGAATAATCACTTTCTAACACTTTTAATTTGTGCCGATTTCATTGTGATATCATCCAAGCGACTTTTCGATAGTTATTGTTACGCATTTTCACACGATTTTTTTTAATTCCGTAAATTTTTGGTACGATATTATTACGATTCACACGCCGAATCGCGTATTTAAATGTACGCTTTCTAGCTTGCTTTATTTCTACCTAATTTATCTTAAATCCAAGTTATTTTTCGATTTTTCCTTCGCAGTTATGTATTGCTAACCATTGTATTTTCACTTTGCTTTGAAAATTTCGGTATTTTCCTGACAATTTTATTACAACACTCGAAATTTGAATCGCGCATTTAAATTTATATTGTATCAGAAAAATAAATATCTAACGCAATAAAGACATTGATTTCTCTTAAATAACCGGTATAACGCTCGGCAATTCTTAAACGATTTAATTTCTATTTTTTCCATACGAACAAATTTTTTCATGAAAATCTTGATCTTAATCTTAATTTTGACCACTTGAAAATAATGAAAGTTGTTGAAACGTTAAGATGTAATTGTTTTATCGTTTTGTGCATTTCCATTGGACAGAAAAATCGCTGATATGGTAATTATAGTAAACATAGAATCTGCTTTTATTTTTGGTTGTAATCATCATAAAATGCCAGAAAGCATGTAACCTTACGGCAGCTCTGTGTCTGAATTTTCTTTTTATTATCGCGAAAATGTTGTACTAAAAACCTTTTTCCAATAAAGCAAAAATATTGCAATTACAAACCTTTCATCCTAAAAGGATTAAAAATTATTTTCTTAAAGCTTTTTTTAAAAGTATTGTCACTTCGGTATATAATGGCGTTTGACGTCACACTAGCGATAGGATCAAATTGCATTGTCCATTAAAATTTCATGACAAGATGGATTTTATCTGAGCATACAAGACATTGCGAAAAGAAACCTTATAATGACCTAGATATAAGGTTATTTTCATCTTGAGACTAGCTTTATGAAAGGATTTTTTTTTCTTTTGAAAACCCTAGGACAACCTCGATTTAAGGTTTTTATATAGAAGGTTGTTTTTCAAAGTTTTGGATTAGAGTAATGTGAGTAGAATAGAGCACATTGTCAGAGATATCGTTTTAAGGATAGAAGATTTACACGCAAACCTCATTACAAACCTTTAAGGTTTACATTAAAAGATTTTTGCTTACTGGAAATAAACCTTATTTTGCTATATGGGAATTAATAATAGTTGCAAATATGTGAAATATTTATTCATCCAATTTTAATTTTTGTTTATTTACTCCTATACATATGCGAATTTGTAAGCTCAAAAAAAAAAAAAATTCATAACACTTAGTAGAACTTTAATCGAAGAATATATAGATCAAACAAATATAGATATCGGTATTTACCTTTAATATTTACTTATCTTCCCTTCTCTATATTATTCAAAGCAATTTTAGTTATTATTTAGAATTAAAGACGAAAAGTTAAAAGTGGTGAATGTAAAAAGTAAATGTGTGATATTATTGCGCAACCTTTTAAAGTAAACATGTTTATTAAGAATTGTTTATTACATATAGAAATTAACTTTTCACACTGCTACTAACTAACATTTCAGGTGAAAAGCATTTAAAAATGTTTTTAATTGTAACCGAAAATGAAATAAAATTTTTTAATAAGGTGAAGTGATCATGAGGCAGGTCAGCAAAGCGAGCTGAGAGCATCTAATAAATAAAATATTGGTAAAGAAATGAATTTTATTATTTATATTACTTATATTGTTTTTATTATTTATATTGCATTTTCAGATTGAGACTAGCTTTATGAAATGATTTTTTCACCCTTGAAAACCCTAGGTCAACCTCAATTTAAGGTTTTTATGTAAAAGGTTGTTTTCCAAGGTTTTGGATTCGGGTAATGTGTATAGAATAGAGCAGATTGTCACAAATCTCGTTTTAAAATTAGAAGGTTGGCGCGTAAACCGCAATACAAACCTTTTCATTACAAGGGTTTTGTTGAGAGAAAATAAACCTTACTTTGCTTTCTGGGAATGATTTAAACCAGTATCGGTGCAACTAAAATTGCATGATTAGTGCGGATAAATTGAAGATTTAATTGAACAGATACGTTTGACGAATATATACGGATTATATACGGGTTACCACTGTTCGAGTTACTTTGTATTAATTATTTTAGTTGATGGTTGATAGTATTTAAAAGTAATGTAACTATAATACGCACTCTAAACGCAAAAAAAACATCGTTCGTGAAGTAGGTGAAATTACATCCATGACTATCTTAAACATTATAAATTTTTTGTACTTTTATTAGATTCCCGGACGATATAGTGGCTACTCCGAGACACCCGAATACCGCTATCCCTACGTCTTCCAGCACAGAGACAATGGAATCCTTGTACCTGGCAACGAAGAGAGTGAACTGGAAGATGACTTACTACTTCTACCTCCTAACTCACGATACATTGATACACGGTAGGTTTTCATTCTGATCTAGTTTGTCTAAAGTAAGAACTCCCCTTGCCTTTCCGCTGGACCCCGTGGCGGTGATTATAGTAACGAGGTATAGCTATTTCAAGTGGGGTCTCTGCTTAGGACTGGTTTTGGCTCGAGACGACGAGAGAAAGGGAATCTTTTTCTTCGGTTTATTGTGTTAACCCAAACGTGAAGAGAAGTTACCCTTCCAGAAATGGGCTATTCTTGTTTCCATAGCAACAAGCGGCCTCAGATTTTGTGATGGGGGAGTTCTTACCGTAGACAAACTATAGATAGTCCTAAGGAGAAGGACTGGTTCGTTCCTTAATCAAAACTGAAGCTACCATTCACCATCTTATGACGTCACGCCGCACACAGATCGCGAATATCGCATACTTTCTACTGTTGTACTTTCTGTTTCATGCATACTGTTTATACTTTATTTAGGTAAGAATTGAGTAGTATGTTTACACTTTTCCGGTAAAAGCTGTCAAACTTTACTCTGCTAGCACATTATTTCAGTTCAAAAATATAGTATTCATACATTTCCTTAAAGTATTAAAAAATGACATTTTAAAGTTAGAAAAATTTCTCAGTGGTTGTCTCAGATCAAAATGGTGATAAAATTGTAGAGTTTGCTGGATTGAAGGGAATACCGAACCTGCAACCTGTACTTTTTCTATTCACATAAATCCTTCTAGTACATTTTATAATTCGTTTGACGTCACCTTTATATTTTCTGAAGCAAAACAGGAAAAATTACGTTTCCTAATTCTGTGTTTTATAATAATTCTTGTCGGTGATATTTGACTGTTCAATTTTTTAAATCAGATGAGAAGAAAAGTACCTCAAAATAATAAAAAAGTCATAGAAAACAATGAATGCATTGAAATAAATTTCTAAAACGAATGGTAGTTACATGCGAAACAATTTATTTTTAAAGCGAGAAGTTCATGCTGCGTAGTCGTGACGTCACTGACTGTAATCAGAAGCCCGGAGCGGTAAGTCTCTCCAAAGGAGAGATCTATCCTTTCTGTTCACTTTGTAGCCCTGATTAGCTATTAAATTGCATTACATCGTTTCCTGGGTAGCTTTTAATTTGGTTCAAATGCAGATTTTATGGGCCGGAGGAAGAATTGGACAAAAATAATTAGAATAAATAAGTTAATCAAGACAAAAAACGCTTTTATTTATAATTTAAAAAAGCAAGCAAACTTATTTTTTTTAAAAAGACAAAAATCCATTTGAATTTTAATTTCTGATAATGAGTTTTTGATAAAGATAAAAATAAAGTTTAGTTAGCCTGATGATGGATTGAAAAGCAATTTATACCTCACTATTGGTTTTTAAAAATAGTGTTTTTTAATCCCAATAGAGAGAAAAAAATACTGGAGTTATTTAAAGTACATCGTGAAATAAAAATTATACAGAGTGTTTCAAAAAAAAAATAATATATATAATTCCTAAATATTTTTGAAACCCTTGTCGAATTGAAGTTCACAAATTCATTTCAAAGCGAGAGTGAAACAAAAATCGCTATTGAACACGGTCTAATCGCTAGTGCGGAAGAGAAAACAAAAACATCGAAACCTGTTTGATTGCCTAATTTTATTTGGAGGTGCTTCGAAGGGTTGTCTTTCCTCCCTGCGACTATCAAGTGGGTTTTTTAGATTAAATATTATTTTCCGACCCTATATTTATCATAGGTCTATATTTGCGCATATAGACCTATATTTGCGCATACACTATATATTTGTACATGCCCTATATTTGCGCATATTTTTTATAATTTTTTTTCGACGAAAAGATGAGGGTGATCTATTTATAAGTGCTATAACGAAAATAAATTAAAAAACTTTTTTTTCTTACAGGCCGCAGGAAGAGAAAAACGAAGGCATTCAAAAATGGCTAAATCGTCACACTATTCCTTCAGTTTTTAGGGTCTCCAAAAGATCTTCACCGTTCTTTTATCCCATCGATTACAGATATATTCCAACAGGAGGATACAAAAAGAGATCTAACGGGTAAGAAATAACCGATACTTAATTCAATTACTGATACTTTATTCGATTACAGATATATTCCAACAAGAGGATACAATAAGAGATCTAACGGGTAAGAAATAACCGATACTTAATTCGATTACTGATACTTTATTCGATTACAGATATATTCCAACAGGAGGATACAATAAGAGATCTAACGGGTAAGAAATAACCGATACTTAATTCAATTACTGATACTTTATTCGATTAAAGATATATTCCGACAGGAGGATACAATAAGAGATCTGACGGGTAAGAAATAACCAATACTTTATTCGGTTCCTTCATCAGCAGCTCATAAACACACTTTCACAAATCAAGCAAACATTTACACGAGCTTTGACAATAAATAAAGAATCAATAATCACTGCATTGTAATCCATACAGCTTCTTCTTAACATTTCAAAGTATAGTAAAAGTTTGTTATTAATTAAATTCGCAATGGCACATGAAATTGTTCTTATAGTGAGTTGGAACTATAAACAAATATGCGTATTAAATTCCTTCTATTAGTTCACATTCTCCCTATATCTTGTTCAAATTTTCAATCGTTAATACAATACTTTTTATTCATACACTCAAGTGTTCAAATACATTTTTTTTAAAACTTGTAGTGGATGACATTTGATGTTAATACCGTTTCTTCAACTATTAATTTATTAGTTTTATTTGTAGCTATGGAATATTTTGAAAATTGAAGGAATTGTTATTGAAGGAAAATTGAATATCTTGTTTTTCTAAACTAAAATAATTTCTTTATAAACATATTTTAGGATGTATCTAAAAAAGAATCTGATTTCTTTTTCAGAAATGCTCACGTGGGACGTTATATGGATGATGAGTCGGAAGGAGGAGGAGATTTTGGGAAGTGGGGACACGTTGTCCAAGTACCAGAAGCTTATGCTTCTCCTGAAGATATAGCTCGATTGTATGGGCTTGCTAATCTTTTGTCCGATGGAGATGAAATCAGAAAACGCCCCTCCACCTAAACTTAGAAGTAAGCTATGCAACGTTTTACACTTTCTGTTTCTAACAAAATAAAGGGCTCTTTTGAGGAGACCAATGCGTTATCCACAAGTCTCCTCAAAAGTGTCGTTTATTTTAACCAATATGAAATTCTAACCTAATTCTAACCTGTAACAAAATAAAGGGTTCTTTTGAGAAGACCAATACGTTATCCACAAGTCTCCTCAAATGTGCCGTTCCTGTAAAGGGTTCTTTTGAGGAGACCAATGCGTTATCCAGAAGTCTCCTCAAAAGTGCCGTTTATTTTAACCAATATGAAATTCTGACCTATAACAAAATAAAGGGTTCTCTTGAGGAGACCAATGCGTTATCCGCAAGTCTCCGCAAAAGTGCCGTTTTTTTATGCCGTTTATTTTAACCAATATAAAATTCTAACCTACAGCAAAATAAACGGTTCTTTTGAGGAGACTAATGCGATATCCACAAGTCTCCTCAAAAGTGCCGTTTATTTTACGCCGTTTATTTTAATCAGTATAAAATTCTAACCTACAGCAAAATAAACGGTTCTTTTGAGGAGACTAATGCGTTATCCACAAGTCTCCTCAAAAGTGACGTTTATTTTAACCAATATGAAATTCTAACCTATAACAAAATAAAGGGTTCTTTTGAGAAAAGTGACGTTTATTTTAACCAATATGAAATTCTAACCTATAACAAAATAAAGGGTTCTTTTGAGGAGACCAATGCGTTATCCGTAAGTCTCCGCAAAAGTACCGTTTATTTTATGCCGTTTATTTCAACCAATATAAAATTCTAACCTACAGCAAAATAAACGGTTCTTTTGAGGAGACTAATGCGTTATCCACAATAACTAATATGAAATTCTGACCTATAACAAAATAAACGCTTCCTTTGAGGAGACCAATGCGACTCAATTTTGTTAGATGGACCGTAAATTGCTTAAATTAATTCTTTTTATCCATTGTAGAAATACTCAATTTTCTTTTGTTGCTGATATGTACAGAATAAAATTGTGTATAATAACCAATCATTAAATAAATAAATAACTTTGATTACATCCAACCATATTACAATCATACATAAACTTGGTATTAGGTTAATATTTGCTTTCCCTCCTTACAGTATTAGCAGTTAAAAAAAAATTTGGTAACATTTCAATGTTCTGGAATTTATAAGCCAGGAAAATGACAGCCAGGATACTGATAAATTCGCCATTTTATGGCATATAACCTTACTTTAATTTAATATTTTGGCCTAAGACGTTTACATTCTGCAGAAAAACAACAGGATTTCTTAAAATAACTCAGATAAATCTATGTAGTTTATGTTATTAATGATTTCAAGAAGCCAGGAATATGACAGCACAAAAACCTACTCATCTTGAAAAAAATTTTGACATAGATTTTGAGCCAGAAAATTGGCTCGTTATTCATGCCACAAAACATGTTCATATAGGAGGGCATCTAATCAATCAATTTTTATTTTGTTACAGGTTAGAAACAGAGAGGGTAAAAAATGGGTAAGGAATATTTATTGTTAAAAATTCTTTATTTCATATTAGGAGATTTTTAGTCACAGATTTGCCCGAATTGGATTTGCACATGATAAAAATAAAATTTAGTTAACAAGGAAATTTTTAATAAATTTATTCATAATCATACATGCAATTAACTCTATAATTTTATATAGTATATAATTACTTTAGTTGAATATACATTGTTAATATGAAGAAATTCGATGTCAATATCCTGTATTACAACATGGCCCTATATCTCCCTTTAATATTGACCCATAATACTCAAACTGGACCACGTATTATATTACCTGGTACTAGTGTACCCTACCAGAGGAAATAATTATAGGCTTAATAGGGGCCACAAATGTGACCCTACAGGCTACTATTTATGTATATATATAATAGTGTGTTGAATAACAATTTATCAGCATATTTATTAAATTTTGAATAGCAAATTTATCAAATTTTGGAAGAGTTTGTCTATTTGTTTTTTGGATAAACAAACATTACTGCAAATTCTTTTAATTCTATTCATTTGATTAAAAAAATAGTATTTTAACAAATGTATTTTAGTTACCTAAGAATTCCATGTAATTAGTTTATTCATATTAAATTTAAAATAATTTCTTTTATCATATAAGTCACAAATGCAGATATTTTCTTAATTATTTTTAATACTTCCTTTTAATCATATATTTTAATTAATTCCTTTTTAATACTTAAATTCAAAAACATTAAAATTAATATTATCATCATGATTACGAAGCAAGATAAATTAAATCCTGCGTGTAAACATTATTTAACAAAATTTTACAATTTTGAAAGTTAAAAAACAAAAAAATCTTAAAAATCTATCAATATATCCAATCAATAAATTTAAAATCTTTGATCTGATGATTGGAATTTCACGGACTTTCTTTTAATGGTTCGAGGAGATGACCTTCATGTTAATTAAGGTGATATTTTAAATTACGAATTCAGACACAAAAACGAACTTTCTCTGAATAAAAAATTTTTTTTTGTCGAATGCGGAACTAATGTAAAATTTTTCTTTTTGCGTATTTCGTCATATCTCGTGAACTATTAAGCAAATGGAAAGTTTTTTCACATATAATTATAAAATTCGTTTATCCAAAGATAATTCCGAGGGAAGAAAAACAAGTTTTTATTTTTTTTAATTAATTTTTTTTTAAATTTAAAAACGAAATTTGTAATTGGTGTGCAAAAACTTTTCAATTTGCTTAAAAAGTACTCGAGATATGCAAAAGAAAAATAAACATTAAGGGGTGCAAACTTTGAACTGCTAATTTAATCATATTTTCCAGATTGCTGCCACCTCCTATATTTTGAGGGCAGCAAATCCAGAAAAAGGCTTGTCTATTTAGAGAAAGTACATTTTTGTGTCTGATTTCCTAATTAGTAATTAGCGTATTTGAGGTCACTCTATCCCTCAAACCATTAGAAGAGTCCTATTATGTGCAAGTTCAATCAAAAAAATTATTCATTGAGTTTTTTTCTCACTGTGCGAGCTAGAAGACCGCACACGACCTGTCGATGATGAGAAATCATGCCTCATTCTAACCAGTCTAGGTTCAATGTTCTCTTATATCCCCACTCCATATTTTTCAAACATTGGGAAATAATTTCTTACACTTACTGTCATTTTGAACTTTATATTTAAGTAAAGTCATCTCTTTTATTTATTTATCTTATTTTGTGACGCGTTAATAATAATGTTCAGGGGTCTGCCCAGGGAAAATTTACTACCGTTTAGCGGTACCTTCACAAATTCAACTTTTGAATAAAAGGTAGTTTCACAAAATACTTTTCAAAAAAATCAAGTTCTAAGATTCTTCGTGTCTTAAAATTTTGTTTTTGTATCCCCATAAAAAAAAAATATGAACCCCACAGTTTTTAAAATGAAACAACAAGGTTCTCACTTTATAAACTTCACAGAAAGTCAAAATTCGAACATCATTCTAAACATTCGAACATTATCTTTAACATTGCAAATTTATTCTAACAGACCTTTATTTTTTTATGAATTTTTTTTTCCTTATGAAACTTGTATGACCTAGTCGAAAATTTTCTTATAATGAAAATAAATTTTAGTTCTAGAACTGTCAAATGCAAGTTGAAATTAAACTGTGGACAATTGATTTTTTTATTTGGATACAATTTTAAGCTCGAAATTTTAAAATATCAAAAATATTTTTTAATATATTCGGAAAAATATATAGAAATTTACCAGTCATAAATAATTTTTATTTTGTAGCGACAATTTTCGAAAATAATTTCTTATTTTACAATATTTTGGTGTTGATTTTTTAATGCAACTTTTAATTTTTTACAAATTATGTCCAAATTTTCGCAAAGTAGGTACCTCTCAAAAAAACCTAGGCAGACCCCTTATGTGAGATTCTTTTAGATGCATTTAATTCATAAATTTACTTTTCTTTCAGTTTACTACTTGTTTTGATCGTTCTGCTGTTTTCCCGCTGCTGTGACACATTTCCCAGCAATTCCTGCTTTTGATGGTTTCTCGTTTTTCATAAGTTTTCTGTGTTTATTGATATTACAGCATTTAGGAGCACAATTTTCGTGAAATGTCCATTCAAATTTGATATGAACATTTACAAAATTTATAAACCACTGATACGGAAGGATATATCCCATTAAAAATGTATGATATCGGATGTATTCTTTCATATAGTACATCAAATATATACAGATATATTGATGAACAAATATTTGTTAAAAATTCAAACAAGTGTTAAGTTATTTTCATCAAACAATTTTGCAAAATAATGTATTTGAGAAAATTTTTTCATTCCTCTATTTTTATTAACTTATTTTAATAGATTGTTTTTTTCCTAACACTATTTTTTTTTGTGTTGTTTAAAACTTAACTAACATAAATTTTGCAGAAAATTGGAATGCAATGTTTGTATATTAATAACGCATTTTGGAAATCCGCATTTCTTAAATGAATAGTTTTTTAATTAATTTTTGACACGCACTAAAAAAATGTTTTATTTTAAACGTTTATAAACTTTAAGACATTGTTATTCTTAAATTTAACTCTGGATTAGATAATGAATTCATCTCAATAACGCTATCTTAATTTATACTTATTAAATTAAATGGAAAGTAAATTGAGGACTCATCCCTGTTTAAAGTATAATAAAGGTGAGGCTTCTCAATTCATATTAATAATTTCATTACAACTTGCATTGAGGTAAATAAGTATTGGTAAATTTAATTGAAGTATATATAGGTAAAATATTGTGACTCTCGATTTCTTTCAAAATCATATCATTGCAAAATTTTGTCAAGAAATATCGCAATTATCAAGAGTATTGCACAAAGAAATACGATATTGCACCGAAATAATACTACAAGGGTCAAGGACGAAGTATCAGACGAGTAGAACATGTAGAGAGCATCATGTCACGATAGTGCATCATGCCCTACGTAGAAGAAATATCGCGGAAGAGAAGAAATCTTACGCGGAAGAAATGTCGCGAAAGGGAAGAAACCTTACGTGGAAGAAATATCATGTTAGGGAAGAAACCTTTCGTGGAAGAAAGGTCGCGGAAAAAATGTCGCGAAAGCTATAACTTCATCATCATATTTTTAGGGTGCATAGAGTTTTTTAAAAAGGTGCTTATTTTTGATTTACGTTTTTTAAAAGTCCTTAAAGGCGCTTTTTTTAATCGGGGTTTGCAAAAAGTGCTGAATTTTCTATCTTTTAAAAAGAGTTTTTCTTTCTTTGCCGTGTAGAATATTGTTCTAAATTACAAAAAAATGCATGATTTTTTACAATTTTCTCTGTAATATTTATCAGATACTAGCTATTTTAGCATGATTATGTAAAGTTTTTGAAAATGCTTTTGAACTTTATAGATTTTACGTTTATAAATTAAGAACTTTAAGCGATAGAAAAAAATAATTTTTATTACTGCACAATTATGATCTTTTTTTGGAAAGTGATTAAAAATATTTTTGAGTGCTTAAAAAGTACCTAAAGGGGGCTCATTTTTTGTTTAGAAATCTGGCTACGCACCCTGTAATTGACATGAACACGCAGGCTGGGCCCAGGCCTGCTGTTTTTTTGACTTGAAGGAAGAACTTACGTGGAAAAAAAGTCGCAGTAGTGAAATAGAGCGCGGAAGAAATGTCGCGGAAATAAAACCTGTCGCAGAAGAAATGTTGCGGAAATGAAATATTGCGTGGAAGAGATGTCGCGGTAGTAAAACCTGTCGTAGAAGAAATGTCGCGGTAGTAAATCTCAGAGCGGATAAAAAGTCAAGGAAGTACAGCCCTTCGTGGATTAAATGGGAAAATACTATTTAAACGAAAATAACCAACTCACAGAATATAAGCAATATTAAACATACAACTTAAAAAATATTATTCCTATCAAATCAATACAAATATTAAATAAATTTTATGAATGTGAGATTTTAAGGATGCAAAATTTTTTCTCACATTTTTCTGTCTTATTGAAAATTAGGTTTTCTAGATTGAATCCTAATTGTAAGTTGTAAGTTTCAATTATTTTTCATTTTCGTATTAATTTCATAAATTCGCATTCATATATAATTCCATTCATCTCATAAGAGCTATCAATAATCAAAATATTACTAAATATCCATTTTTGATACGTTTCTTTCTCTATAAAACTTATTGCTGAACAAAATATATATGACATTTATTTTCATTTTTATATCTAATGTGCATATAT